CGCGCGACAGCACCTAAGTGACGCTCACGAAAAACAGCAGCACAACATGAGCCATGTGGTGGCTAAGCCGTTGCGAAAAAATCGTGTTTCCAGTAATTTTCGAGAATTAGAATTCCATGTTGCTTTTTATTTTTCTTGCTTTTTTTCTGCATTTTGAAAACCACTTCTTTCTTTCCTCCCATAGCATGCATTGGCCGTGGTTTATGGTAATACTGAGCATTCGACTTTATGTTCCTGAAGCAAGACACTACTATTCAAATTCACCGCTCCTATTCAAAACCCTCCTGAGTGGCACCTTATGCGTTACCGAAAGCATAGTGAGAATCTAAAGGTGAAGCAACACTTGCAGAGGGATCGTTGAAGAGGAAAAAAGAAGAGCAAACATCCTGTCGCATAGCACATAATCACTACTCTTTTTTGGGCGCCGGGCGAATGTGGAAGGAGAAACACTGGGCGCTGAAGTGAGAGAGCATGGGGGCAAGCGAGACGCAGACATCAACACGTTCAAAACGAAGTGCGTGTGTTGACACAGGTCAGGCTCCGTATGTCCTCGTTGCGCGTTTTAGTCGTGAAAACGACACTACTCCTGCGATTTAGGACCCCTAATCTTTGTTTACAAATGAATTTGTATTCTATTGAACCAGTCGCGAAATAGGATTTCCAAAGGCAACTACAATTGAACACAGGTCAAGAAAAGCTTTCAAAGTAGCAAACTTACGTCTGTCCTGATAGAAGCGATTCGCCAGAAGGAGTGACTTCCTCAGAGATAAAACTTTTTGGCATGGCGATTCCAGCAGATTGTGCAGCTTTTCGTGTGAACACAATTGCTTCAAAAAAAGAACATCAAAATGGAAGAAGTTTGTGTTAAAACATAGAAAAAGAAAAATATTTTTCAAAAGTTTGCGTAATGCTGTCAATTTTAGAAATAGTTGGCCAATAATAGATCTATCTGTCAAATGGCTTCCAATGGAAGTCATTTACGGCTCGTAGCAGAGCTAGCCAAAGTTGACCTTTTCATCCTATTGGCCCAAGCGCGGCGGAGGTAAAATGAGTCAGTCGCAAATAAAGGTCCTGCTGCACACCATATCTGGGGATGGAATCCCTCGCTGAAGTGAGTCACGGCCTCACCACCCACGCGTGCGTCCCACCGGGCTTAATTAATCGCTAGCAGCTTCATATGGGAGGATAAACTTACTGAATTTGAACCTATACTTGTAACATTAACTACACATAGTTAATTCGGTAAGTTCGAACTAAAGCAAAGTACGTGCTCAACCCGAACTGACTTAATCAAATCTAAGACGATCTGCACAATGTATGACAAAAGTTCCCTTCTTCAGATCAAATATGGATGTGGTTGTTCGGTTTTGGTTGGTTAGCAGTCGATTGGCAACTGGTTAAGCAGACATTTAAAAGGAATATGGGTCAATTGGTCAACATTGAAGCGATCTACCTAACTGACCATTAGTGCATTCCTGTAAGCGGCAAATGTCCCGAGGGAGTTCGGTTTTTCCTTAGCATTTTTTTTAGTTTTGTTACGAACTGATATAATGCTTTAATGAAATTTCCCTCTTGAATAATCTATTCTACTGAGGCAAACAAGCTTGAGTCAGAAGTCGCGATGGCTTGGAAGCGGGACCCATCTTTCGAAAACGCCATGGTAGAAGCAGCGGTCACCCTACGTTGTTACTGGAACAACGGGGTCGTACCTGGTTGTGAGTAAGGAGGGGGGGGTCGTATATGGTGGAATTGGGAGCGGCAGCGGAGGTAAATTAAATAAAGGACTTAAAATTAAAAAAGATTAATGATTTATATAAATTTAATTGCGGTGTGCCGCTTATCAGCGCGCGCGAGATATATACCCTCCCCGCTCGGGGCATTTTGGAGGAAAAGTGGGCGGAGTTTGGTGGGTTGAGTGGTACCAGAATAAATACTATAGAGGGAATATGTGGTGGTCGAGGGTCGAAAAGGGGGTCGTACCAAGGTCCACCTTGGGGGAGGGGGGTCGTAAAAAATTTTGAAAAAGTAACAAAAGCTGATAGGACCGGAACCACTCGGGTGGAAGCGCTGTGAGAGCGCCCGATGGCGCTAGTCCTCGCGCAGACGCTACCCTTACACCCCTATCAATTACCTTTTGCAGCAGAAGACCCGCGTTACCAGCTGCGTTCTCTGGGCCTTTAGGTTTAGGTCATTTATATGTCCAAGCTTTTTTCTCAAAACATGTGAACATACTAATATTGATGGATGGTTAGAGATTGGTGGTGTTCTAAAATTGATTTGGTAGAAATGTTTAGCCGCTTACCGGTCTCTGCTTGCACTGGGATCGTTGTAGTCTCAATCCTAGCCTCTTTCTGATCGTATTCATCGTACTCTCCAATGTTTATCCAGTGTTTCGTGAGTCGAAAACTTCTTGATCTGCAGTTGTCTCCTCGTATGATGCATCGACTGGAATTATTGCCTTACTAGAAAAACGTGTCGAAATCGGCAAACTACGAGCGGTTGTCCCAAAAGTCCGACCGGCGTGAGGAACCTATTCATTCGGCCTGTGTCATTAGGTCACAGCGCGGCGACGCTTGCGGTGTGCGGTGCGCGGTAAGATTGCTCGGCAGCTGATTCGAACGAAGTCTCTTCACTTTTGCCGCCCTCATTCGACCATGCACTATGTAGCCGTGTCTGTATTTCAGGAAATCAAACAATCAATAGGTACGCAAATTCCCTGCACGCGACATACGACAGCTGTGCGGCGCGCAAACCTAATGACACACCCCGAAGCTTCTGCTCAAGTGCCAGAAACGCTTCAAGTTTTTGTTTCTTCATGTGCCATTACCGATTAGTTCAAGATTTTTGGGACAACGCTTTCTCTACCTGGACTATTGTAGAGTGAATGAACGGGCGATCAGTGAATTCCGTGTCGATGATTTTCCTATCTTCAATGTCATCAATATTTGGTTCAAACGGAATCAGTGTAGGAAATCCCTGGAGAGAGGTCTGTGTAAATGGCGTACTCGTCGGCGGTGGTGGCGTAGTCTCAGTTGGTCGCAGAAGCTCAGCGCTGCCGTCGTGAATCATCGGTTGTGGTCGAAACGGCGGAATGAACTGACCGGACGGGTCCATAGGCGGTGGAGTCGTCATCCGTTCAATTTGGAATTCTGGCTGGGAATCACCTGGATTCAAAACACGTGTTAGTGAAGGTGCAATATTGAAATGGATACATTCATAAAATCATTTTTTCAATTTTTCTTTAGTTTGAAGAGCTGAGTTTTCAAGATCCTTTTAACTATGTGGGCACTAGTATTCGGAAAAGAGATAAACAATTCCTGAAATCAAAGAAAAAAACTAAAAATCCTCCAGCGGGAAATCGAGAGAAAATGGGATTTCCAGATTTCCTTCAATTGCTCTGACGCAATTGCTCGTTAAAGCTAGCGATACTATAGTTGAGAAGCTTTGTTAGCTATACGATATTGCGCAAGCAACACTATCACTTGGCAACATGAAACTGGGCAACCAAGCTCGAGCCGACTACTATTAGCTTTCAAACTTCCCTTTTTATCCAGAGCCTGGCTCTCGGTTCCGGTTCTTCGGTTTTACCCGGCATACATTGGCGGTTTCGGCAAACCTTAGTCAGTCGTTTTTCCCGATATTTGGTCTGACTCGGAAACGGACCATAAGGTTCCTTGGTGAATTTCCATTTATGATTCCATCTGTTGAACTTGGTAACTAACTGGTGGTCGTCGCCAGGGTCATCTAGAGACTCAATTATAAGGTTCCCTGACAAATCTCGCCCACATAAGC